GTTAATGATCCAGTCAGTCACTAAGACTATGAAGTCCATTGAGCTAATCTTTGTCTGGTTCTGAACAGATTCGTACCTCAGTCGGCCACCTGCTGTTCCCAGGAAAAGACTTCAGCTGGATCCGTCACGCTATCATCACCCTGACCCTGCTAACAGGAACCAACATTCTGGTCATCTTTGTCCCGAGCATCAGAGATATTTTTGGCTTTATTGGTAAGTAACTGCACATGTTAATATGTATCAATGTCTTTATGCCAGAGCATTATTGACTTTTTTGGGATTCATTTGACCATTTTTCCTCATTCCAGGTGCCTCTGCTGCTGCAATGCTGATCTTCATCTTGCCCTCAGCACTCTATATCAAACTGGTTAAGAAGGAGTCATTGATATCAGTTCATAAAATTATGGTAAGACATTATTTAACATTTATGTCTCTTATTCTACACATCTGATGCCAAAAGACATTTTAAGTTGTAGTAAAAGACAAGCTTTATGAATGGATCTATGAAGTTATTCACAAACTGAAACTTTTCAGTATTAACTGTGAAATAATTTCGTCCACCAGGCTATGATGTTCCTGATATTAGGATTTGTTGTCATGTTTGGCTGCATGACTCTTATCATCTACGACTGGATCATGAACGCTATGAAAGACAAAGGTCACTGAAGCTCCCGCTCTTCTGCTGGTGGACAGGAACTGAAATTTATTTTCTTTCAATTTTATTTTAAAGTAGTTTTGCTTTAATGTACTAAAATATCAATTAATCCTAATCCTAAAAGATACTTTCAGTTAAACAGCACCTATTTAATATTTACCCTAAACTCCTGTGGCTTTACACAGGTTCTAAGGTCTCAGACTCTTTGTGCTCAATATAATCTGGATAGATATATTTTAATTACACATTTTGTAAGACTGCAAATAAAAAAATTATAGCAACTTTAAATCTAATATTTTTTATAAAGCACTTCAGTGCTGCTATAGAAAAGCTGGCCCGACTAGATTTTCCACGGCCCGCTGAGACTGATTTATATTATAGTCATCTTTTTATATATATATATAAATGCTGTTAACATTTTTGTAAATAAAGTAATGTACTACCTTTTGAACCTCCATTCTCTGTGTTCATCATATCTGATGTTGGCCTCTATTTTCAAATGTTAGGAGGATTAGTGTAGCTTGGTGATCTGAATACGAAGTGATATCCTAAGTTCTAATATTTTAGCTGGAGTTCCAATCTCAACCTTTCCTAGTTGGATTTCTTCATGAGGGAACGTCATGCCAAGGAACTTTTCAAGACACTATTTCAGTTGATTTTGATTGGCTCAAATTCATTTAACTACAGAGGAATCAAACCACATAGTCATACAACTTGGTCCAACAACTCAATTTATGCAAACATCTAAAAATGAAATTTTGAACAAGACCTGTGGAAATCATTGGATCATTGTAAACTGAACAAACTATGCTCAGTTTTATGTTTTTCTAACTAAGGTGACAAACATTTGTGCCTACAATGTTCACTTTCCAAAACCTTTGAACATGTATCGGATTTTCACTGCTTAGATAACATTTTCCTATAGGGACAATCTTGACTTGATCTCAGATGACATAAAGGTTTTCTATTACTTCATGTCTTAAAAATGTAATGCATGTTTAATAATTTTGAAATTCCAGAGCAGACATTTTTTCAGTTTTTTAAAGTCTCAGCCTTATGCTAACTTATCAAATGACGATGGCACTCTTCACACCAGACCTACTAGAATAGAAGGTCTACTGTAGGTCAAGAAATAGTCTGCTCCTTTCCAATCATCTCCTTTATCTAATTTACATTGGAGACATTTGTCCTCACCACCGGTCCTCTGTAATTTTCAGTTAGCTGTCGAACGCTAGAATGCTCACTAGGAATGCTATCCCCTTGGGAATCCCCCACTAATTCCAATCAATCCTGATCTTATCCCTTTCATTATTTAAAACAAATTTTTTATAATTTTTTTTTTTTTTTGGGGGGGGGGGAACACAACTTCCTTATTAATTACCTTTTTGATCATTTACTGCACTTATGCTAACTTATTAAAGAATATTTTCATTGAAGTCAACCCAACATACAAGGCAGAGAAATAAAGTGAAATCAACTTTATTTAGATCTTTAAGCCTTCAAGGAGAAAAGATCCAAGTTTGAGGATGAGGATCTAATTAAACATGTTCTATGGAATCCCTTCTGCGCATTTTATTATCGCTGCCCAACAATCTGGTTTCCATTCAGACAATTTAACATTTTTTCCTACAAAACAAAAACATACATTTTTAAATGAGCATTAGGGTTCCCACAAATCCAGAAGCGCTACCCCCTCCTTGTGGCTCTGAGCTGCAATTACAACAGGTACCCTCTGATCGACACTGCACAGCAGGAAGCATCTAGTTTATTTCACTACGTTCCAGACAATTTGCACAGCTCATGTACACACACACACAGATATTACACATTCACCCCCAGACACACTCGCTGCTGATTAGGCATCTGACTTTGGATCCAATCAGAGCCCTGATTACAATCACAGTCCTCAGATTGCAGGCCTTTCATTGGGCTACAGAGACTATTAAAGACAAAAGCACTGTTTTTTTTTGTTTACCTTTCAGTTGAAATATTACAGTTTTTTTTTTTTTTTAAAGAAGCATTGATATTGATTCAAGCTATGAAATTAGGATGCTCTTCGCCACAATCTTCAGAGTGCATCTTTAGTAATCTCACTGCACTCTACAGCAGCTCCCCCAAAGTCCCATGATCTAAGCAAAATAAAGGGCTCTTGCAATTACAATTTATGATCAGGTCATTATTTTCTAACAAAATATGAAAATCTATAGAAAACAAATCTTCATTCAATAAAAGGTAGATATATCAAAAAAGGAGGAAACGCTGGCTCTCGCTTGGCTTGGGAGGCCAGATTCCAGCAGGAGGAAATTGCACTTGATCGGATCAGCAGAACGGGTCTGGGAGGGGAAACCAGCGCTCCCTGCAGGTTCATTTCTTGCGGGCGTGTTTGTATTTGTCCACGTATGCCTTCACCAGGTTGGCCACTTTGCTGGAGTTCACCTCTCCGCTCTTGCTGTGGCAGACCTGAGCAGGAAAAGAAAGAAATCCGATCTGATTTCCTGCAATTATCCCATTCTAGCTACTAAAAATGTTAATATTTAGACTGTTTTTTGGGGGGCAGGGTGTTTACAGTATATTTATCCATGTTGATATATTGGTTAACCCATTGATGTCCTACAGTGCTTTAGGGAACAGGGAAGCCATTGGCATAACTGGCGCTTTTTGATCGCTAAAGGAAAGCTGCTACTTTATCTTAGGCATTAAAATGTTTATTTCTTAAGAAAATTAACTGATTTGTTTATTTGAATCTTTCAACTTATTTCTAATATTGTTTATAAAAAAGTTTTAAGTGATTAAATAAAAATTCTGCAAAATGAGCCAAAACTTTTATCCAATTAATCAATATAATAATCACTTGTTAAGCAACTGGCAGTCCATCACAAAAAAATCCCCAAAAAAAAAAAAAAAAAAACTGAAGTTGACACTGAAAGAGTTTGAATAAACATGTTTGATTAAAGTTGGATGCCATTTTGGATCCGACTGCATTTGACTCCCATGTCCCAGTAACCGTTCCTCTCCACTACCCCCAACATGTCCCTGTAACCGTTGCCCCCCCTCCCAACATGTCCCTGTAACTGATTCATTAGTTAAGCTGTCCTAGTTAAGTTCCTAAAGGTTAGAAATACAAACGTGTGTGTGTTTGTACCTTCTCTACTGCTTTGCGGACGATCTCCTTGTACTCCTCCTTTGTGATTTCCTTCCTCTGATAAAACGGTTTGATGGCTGTCTTCACTTCGTTTATAGCCTTCTCTTGTATCTGTTGTTTCTGAAGCACAAACAGGAAGTGACATGGTTAGCTGACAGGAAGCTGAACTCGTTCATACTGGCACAGAGAGCCCTGTTGAGTACCTTCTCTTTTTTGGAGCTGTCGGCTTGGGCCTTGCTGTGCTGGCCGGGCTGGGTGGTGGAGGACGGCAGCGCCTGGCTGGGAGCCGGCTGGACCTGGGACGCTGTGGCCACGCCCACTTTGGTCGGCGTGGGGAGGAGGGCTGGTTTGCTGTAGCCTACGACCGTGCTCACCATCTGGAGTAATACAGAATTTTTATCATTCAGATAGACAACTTGATACAGCTTTTTGAAGTTAGCTGCCATCTCCATGGTTACCGTACCTGAGCCGTGTGCCCGTCAGGCTGAGCTGCGACTGCTACGGTCTGGCCGGCGGCCTGCATGGGCGGCGGTGGCGGTGGGGGAGGAGGGAGGCCTTGGGCAGTGACGGTGGGTACCTGGAGCAGCGGCACTGTGGGGTGGAGGTGTATGGGCACCTGAGGGGGTATGGGGTATGGAGTGGCGGGCTGCAGGCTAACCGGCAGGGGGCGCTGCAGTGGGTATGGATGGTGGAGGACGCCAAGCTGAGGAGGAGGAGGGGGAGGAAGGACGCTCAAAACGGCTACCGGTGCGTTACCAGGAACAACCTGTGGGTTAGGAGGAATAGGGTCGCTCTTTGGTGGATCTAAAAGCACAAAACGGAGAAAAACAAATTTTATTTTACAGTTTTTACACATTTTATATACTTTGCTAGACATTTCCTTATGGTCCATTTTAAAACAGGAAAAACCTGAGTTCACTATGAATTCATTCTATAAATTATTTATTGGCACAATGGAGAAAGCAAAAGAACAAATTAAAAGGAAGGAAGATAGGAAGGCAAGTAGTAAGGACACAAGGAAAAAATTAACAGCAAAGGAAGGAAACAAATTAGAAAAAAAGGAAAGAAATTTGAAGGAAAAGAATGAGAAAAAAGCAAAGGAGGAAAGAATACGACAGAAAAGGAGAAAATAAATAAAAGAATGAGAAAGGAAGAATAAACGAGAAAAACAAGGAAACAAAAAAGGGATAAAATAAATAAATGAAAGAGGAAGGAAAGCTAAAACTTATACTAATACTTTAATACTAAAAGAAATTAACTATTCAAAGATACTTGTTTTCATCAAAATCTTTAAACTGACTTAATTTGTTATCTCCCCTAGTTGCCATGCAACTCAGCCAATCTCAGCACTGGCAATCTAGACACTGAGCTGCTGCTGGAAGTTTAAGACTAGGGTAACATGGAAAGGACATCTGAAAACATTTGAGTATCATAAAAAAGTAAAACATTTTTGTCACTAATGTCAGAAAGTCAAACCCATATACGGATTTTATTACACACAGTGAAATATTTAAAGATTTTATTTCTTGACATTTTGATGACCTTGGCTTATAGTTAATGAAAACCTAAAACCTGGTCTCTCAGAAACTTTGAATATTGTGGAAAAAAAAAAAGTTTAACAGAAACTCGTGTCACACCTTAGTCGGCTAATTTACTCCTGCTAAGATTTCCTTGGCATCAAAATGGTTTCTCTGTGGGTCAGAGAGGGACACACAGTCATGTGAAAACTAACTGCTGATTGGACAGATTCCAGAAGACAATCCTGGACTACATAAACAAGGAGGGGAAGACACAAACGGTGAAGAAGCTGCTAGTTCACAGAGTTCTGTATACAAGCATGTTCTAATTGTCTGACAATAAATTTCAGGTTTCTATTATCTATTAGTAATAAACTAAAATATGGCAAGAAATAAAGGCTTGAAATATTTCAATATGCAACAAATGTATACGAGTTTCATTTCATGAATCATGAAAAATCTGATTAAAATCTTTTACTCTCTGTAGCTGCAGCCATTTTCTGCTTGCAGTCTCCAGAGTAAATCCTGGTTCCTACCTTCACTCCTTGTCATGGTAGAACATTGTCTCAGCTCAGAATTTAAGTAACTAACGTTTCAAATATATTATATAATATACATTGTGCGCAATTATAAGGAAAGTTAATTTTTTTTTGGCATATTTTCCGACTCCAAGCTGGATAGACTTGAATGCTTTATGGATTTAAGTGTAGCAGGTGGTGTGTATTTGTATAATGATGGAAGGGTGTGGCCTATGGAGGTCAACATTCACTATCAAGGTGTGCGTAATTATTAGGCAA